TCATAACAGACTACTATGAATAATCATACACCAACAAATTGGACAACCTAGAAGAAATGAATAAATTCCTAGAAACACAGAGCCTGCATGATAAAACAAGACTGTATCATGAAACAGAAAATCTGAACAGACTGATAACTAGTAAGGAGACTGAATCAGTAATCAAAAACCTCCCAACAAACAAAAGTCCAGCACCAGATGGCTTCACTGGTGAGTTCTACTAAACATTTAAAGAAGTATTAATACAGCAATTCTCAAACTCATCCAAAAACAGAAGAGGAGTTAACACTACTAAACTCATTTTATGAAGCAAACATTACCCTGATATGAAAACCAACAAGGATGCCACAAGAAAAAAAGTTACAGGCTAATGTCCCTTATGAACACAGATGCAAAAATCCTCAACAAAATATTAGCAAATGGAATTCAACAAGTCATTAAAAAGATCTTACATCATGATCAAGTGAGATTTACTCCACGGATGTAAGGTTGGCTCAACATCCACAAATCAGTCAATGTGATATACTACATTAAAAAATTAAGGATAAAAATCATATGTTCATCTCGATAGATACAGGAAAAGCATTTGACAAAACTAAACATTCATTTATGACAAAAACTCTCAACAAAGTGGAAATGTCCCTCAACATAATAAAGCCTACAGCTAACACCATACTTAACTGTGAAACCTGAAACCTTTTCCTCTAAAATCAGGAACACGACAAAGATGTTCACTCTGGCCACTTTTATTCAACATGGCATTGGAAATCCTAGCCAGAGCAATTAGGTAAGAAAAAGAAATAAAAGGCAACCAAATTTAAAAGAAAGAAGTAAAAGTGTCACTATTAGCAGATGACATTATATATAGAAGACCCTAAAGATGCCATCAAAAAAGATGTTAGAATAAACAAAGTCAGTAATATTGTAAGATACAAAATCAATACACAAATCTGTTGTGTTTCTATATGCTAATAACAAACTAGCAAAAAGAGAAATTAAAAAAATAATATCATTTGGGCGCCTGGGTGGCTCAGTCGTTAAGCGTCTGCCTTCGGCTCAGGTCATGATCCCAGGGTCCTGGGATCGAGCCCCGCATTGGGCACCCTGCTCCACAGGAAGCCTGCTTCTCCCTCTCCCACTCCCCCTGCTTGTGTTCCCCCTCTCGCTGTGTCTCTCTCTGTCAAAAAATAAAATCTTTAAAAATAATAATAATATCATTTATAATTGCATCAAAAAGAATAAAATACCTAGGAATTAATTTAACCAAGGAAGTGAAAGACCTGTATGTTGAAACTATAAGACACCCAGGGGTGCCTGGGTGGCTCAGTTGTTAAGCGTCTGCCTTTGGCTCAGGTCATGATCCCAGAGTTCTGGGATCGAGCCCCCCTTCTGGCTCCCTACTCAGTGGGGAGCCTGTTTCTCCCTCTACCCCCGACTCTTGCTTTCTCTCACTCTACACACACACACACACACACACACACACACACACACACACACACACACACCTCAGTGGAATAGAATAGAGCCCAGAAATGAACATGCATATATGATCAATTAATTTACAACAAAGGAGTCAAAAATATACAATGGGGAGGGGCGCCTGGGTGGCTCAGTCGTTAAGCGTCTGCCTTTGGCTCAGGTCATGATCCCAGGGTCCTGGGATCGAGCCCCACATCGGGCTCCCTGCTCCGCTGGAAGCCTGCTTCTCCCTCTCCCACTCCCCTGCTTGTGTTCCCTCTCTTGCTGTGTCTATCTCTGTCAAATAAATAATAAAATCTTTAAAAAAAAATATACAGTGGGGAAAGGATAATCTCTTCAATAAATGGTATTAGAAAACTGGACAGCCACATGCAAAAGAATGAAAATGGACCACTATCTTATACCATACACAAAAATTATCGCAGAATGGATCAAAGATTTGAAAGTAGACCTGAAACCACAAAACTCCTAGAAGAAAGTACAGGCAAATTATCTCCTTGACAAAGGTCTTGTCAATGACCTTATGAATCTGACACCAAAAGTAAAACCAACAAAAGCAAAAATAAACAAGTGGGACTAATAAAAACTAAAAGACTTTTTTTTTTTAAGATTTTATTTATTTATTTGACAGAGAGAAAGACAGCACAAGCAGGCGGAGTGGCAGACAGAGGGAGAGGGAGAAGCAGGCTCCCTGTAGCGCTCAGTCCCAAGACCATGAGATCATGACCTGAGCCAAAGGCAGATGCTTCACTGACTCAGCCACCCAGGCGCCCCAAACTAAAAGACTTCTGCACAGCAAAGAAAACAACCAACAAAATAAAAAGGTAACCTACTGCATACAAGAAAATATTTGCTCTTTAAAAAAAAGGGGGGGGGCCTGGGTGGTACAGTGAGTTAAGCATGCAACTCTTGGTTTCAGCTCAGGTCAATCTCAGGGTCATGAGATCAAGCCCTGCGTTGGGTTCCATGCTCAGCACAGAGTCTGCTTAAGACTCTCTCTCCCTTTCTCTCTGCCCCTTCCCACTGAGCACATGCTCTCTCTAAAATAAATCTTTAAAAAAAAGTATTTGCAAATCATATATAAGGTGTGAATATCCAAAATATATAAAGAACCCATACAACTCAATAGCAAAAACAAACCATCTGATTTAAAAATCATCAGAAGACTTGAATAGGCATTTTCCCAAAGAAGACACAGATGGCCAACAAGCCAAAATCACTAATTATCAGGAAATGCAAACAAAACCATAATGAGGTATCATCTCATACCTGTTAGAAAGTCTATTACCCAAAAGACAAGACATAAGTGTTGGTGAGCAGACAGAGAAAAAGAACCCTTGTGCACTGCTGGTAGGAATGTAAATTGGTGCAGCCATTATGACAGTATGTAGGTTCCTCAAAAAATTTAAACAAGAACTACCATTATATGATCCAGCAATTCCACTTCTTGGTTTTTTCCAAAGAAAATGAAAACATTAATTCAAAAAGATATATGCATGCCCATGTTCACTGCAGCACTATGTACAATAGCTAAGAAATGGAAACAATCTAAGTGTCCATCAATGAATGAATGGAAAAAGAACTTGCAGTATATATATACACAATAGAATATTATTCAGCCATAAAAAACAATGAAATTTTGCCATTTGTGACAACATGGATGGATGGATGTGAAATAAGCAAGACAGAGAAAGACAAATACCACATTATCTCACTTATATGTGGAATCTAACAAAACAAAATAAGCTCTTAGACACAAAGAAACTACTGGTGGTTGCCAGAGGGAGGTGAAGGGTAGGAGAAGGTGAAGTGGAAAGAAAAAGTAAAAAACAATTTAATTAATTAAAAAATGTGCATACAAAGGATGTTTGTTCAACTATTATTTGTAATAGCAAAAGATATATCAGCAGCCTAAGATTCCAACAAAAGGAAATAATTTAAACACCGGTATATCCTGGGGCACCTGGGTAGCTCAGTCAGCTAAGCATCCAACTCTTGATTTCAGCGCAGGTCATGATGTCACAGTCATGAGATCAAGCCCCAAGCCGGGCTCCACACTCAGCAGGGAGTCTGCTTGAGATTCTCTATCCCTCTCCCTATGCCCCTTCCCCGCTTGCTCGCAGGCGCTCACGCTCTAAAATAAATAAAATCAATCTTCTTTAAAAAAAATAAACAAGGGGCGCCTGGGTGGCTCAGTCGTTGGGCGTCTGCCTTCGGCTCAGGTCATGATCCCAGGGTCCTGGGATCGAGCCCCGCATCGGGCTCTCTGCTCCACAGGAAGCCTGTTTCTCTCTTTCCTACTCCCCCTGCTTGTGTTCCCTCTCTCGCTGTGTCTCTCTCTGTCAAATAAATAAATAAAATCTTTAAAAAAAAAAAAAAAAAAAAAAATAAATAAATAAACAAACACTGGTATAGCCCCATAAAGTATTATTATTTAGTCAGTTACTATTTTTTAAGATAAATATATACTGATATGTTTATAATACAGTAGTGAAAAACAACACATACAAAGTATCCCATTTTCGTAAGTGTATCTGAAATTAATTGTGCCAGGTTTCACCCTATTAATGTCATACTTCTATTCTTAGTAAAATTATGGTCTAAGACTAAACTGGCTTAAATGTTAGTTAATTCCCCCCAAGTCATTTGTGTCCTAAAAAAAAGATGTCTCACCTAACAGCCACCAAATCTAGGGGCACCTGGGTGGCTCATTCGGTTGAGCCTTCAACTCTGGGTTTTGGCTCAGGTCATGATCCTAGGGGTTGTGAGATTGAGCCCCAAATCGGCTCCATGCTCAGTGCGGAGTCTGCTTGAGATTCTCTCCCCTTTTCCTCGCCCCCTGCCCCTCCCCCTACTCACAGACACACATGCTCACTCCCTCCCTAAAATAAATCTAAAAAAAAAAAATAGCCACCAAGTCTCTCAGCTATATTCACAATGCAGGATCCAACTTCCTGCTCTCATTCTCACTTTACCATCAACACTGCCCAAAAAGCCCCATTAAGAAACCTCCCAACTGCCTATGCTCTCTCGAGAATGACAATGTCAGAGCCAAAAGGCCCAAAGCTTCCAAACCATAGGAAAGAATGGCTTCCTTCCTTCATTCAGAAGTTCCCAAAGCTGCCAACAGATGCAAAGAGATGCTAGAGAAAGGGTGAGGGGTTTCTGCTAGCAGCCTTGATGGTCCGGTTCAACCAGCTAAAAGTGCACTGTTACACATATGTTTGCCAAGAAAAAGGTCTGAAAGGTTCTGCACCAAGTTGTCAATAATGGTTATCTTTTAGTATTCTGGAAGTTTTTTCTTATCTATGATTTTAAAATTTTCTTCAATGACCAGAGTTTGTTTTCGAGGCAGAAAAAATTTTTAAGTTAAAAAATGAAATATTTAAGTAGGAAATACATTATTGAAAACCATTTCCTTAAACAGCAAACTGTAAGAAAAATTTCCAACAAATATTCAGTTATCAGTCCTCTAATTCTGCCCCCAATGCCAAGGTTCCTCCTGTCTCACCATTACTTACATTCCTGAAGACATTCTGTGTCTGTGCAGTAGGACTGGGACTGCCTCAACTACAATGAATAAGAAGAAAGGAAAGTTAGCCATTGGACTTAACCAAAACTGGATAATCTTTATTAGAAAAATCATGTTTTATTTTTTAATGAATGCTACCATAGTAGATATACTGTACCTTCAGAATCAAATACAAACACAGACTACATTGAAGAGCAGTCCAGCTTTGGGGGACTTTTTTCTACTCAAAATAATTTTCAAATATACTGTGATCTAGTGTAATTCACTCATCTAAATTAAGGAATTTAAAACAAAAATCACCTGTGACAGAAACTCCTGCTGCACGTTTTAGACTTCTCAAAGGAAAAGCACTAAACTGTAGAGAAAGACTACTAGAAAGAGTAAACTTTGTTAATGAGATTTTTTTTCTCATTGACAATTAGAAGCAGATAGAGAAAAAACAGATTCTATTTGTAGGAAGTTCATCTTTGAAAGGGAGCAACATATTTTTTCCCCTTTTTGCTTATATCTGCATAAACAGTGGCTGGATAAATAAGAAACTAATAAAAATGGATACCACAGGGGTTGAGAGAGGATGGAGGAGTAGACTCTGACAGAGATGAAAGCTAAAGTTTTCAATGTCTATCTTTTTACAAAATTTAATTTTGGAATAATGTGATTATCAATTTTAAAAAGAAAATTTAAAAAGAAAAAACCGATCGTAAACATCATCCTTTTATGTTCACCCTATGCTGAGGCATTTTAGGACGTTTAGAAATGATAATATGGGGCGCCTGGGTGGCTCAGATGGTTAAGCGTCTGCCTTCGGCTCAGGTCATGATCCCAGGGTCCTGGGATCGAGTCACGCATCGGGCTCCCTGCTCCTTGGGAGCCTGCTTCTCCCTCTGCCTCTCTCTCTGTCTCTCATGAATAAATAAACAAAAAAAGAAAGTTAAAAAAAAAGAAATAATATGATAAATCAAAGAGAATGAGGAGCATGCAACTTTTCAAATCAGCTTTGTTACTATGTAATAACACCCTCCCTCCCTCCATTACAGCAATGACTCATTGCTTGGGAAAGCAACAACAGAGAGGTTGTGCCTAGCTGCAAAGACCTGCACTTCAAGTCTGAAACTGCAACTTTCTAGAGTTTCAAGCCCTTGGGCAAGGTCTTTAACACTTCTAAGCTTTAGTTTCCTCACCTGGTAAACGGGGATAATGCTACCTATATTTGAGTACTAGGGAGGATTAAAATAGATAATGCATGTGAAATGTAGTAAGAACCCAAGGAATGTCAGCTATTATAACTACTGTGCCACACCAATTACAACCTCATCTAAACAATTACTGCAATTAACAACTACACAAATCATTTTGTAAATTGTTCTCTAAGATGACTGGACTTGCTTTGGTGTGTACCTCTAAAAGTCGTCCTACTTGAATTAAAATGGGAAAACAGATCTTAATGTAAAAATATGCTGTATATCCTAGCCCTAAATATGAAAGGAATTAATCAAAATCTCTTTAAAAATTATACATTCTATGGCCATTATCAAAAAGACAAAAAACAACAAGTGTTGGCAAGGATGTGGAGAAAAGGGAGCCCTTGTGCACTGTTGGTGGGAATGCAAGCTGATGCAGCCACTATGGAAAACAGTATGCAAGTTCCTCAAAAAATTAAAAATAGAATCACCATATGATTCAGCAATTCCACTTGAGTATTTACCTGAAGAAAAGGAAAATACTAATTTGAAAATATATGTACCCCCCCACTTCACTGCAGCATTATTTACCATAGCCAAGACATGGAAGCAATCTAAATGTCCATCAATGTACAAATGGATAAGGAAAATGTGGCAAATATATATACAATGGAATATTATTCAGCCATTTAAAAAAAACGAAATCTTGCCATTTGCAACAACATGGATGGACCCTGAAGACAAGAGGCTAAGTGAAGAAAGTCACAAAGAGAAAGATAAATACTGTATGACCCAGATCCATCAGAGGAATCGCTGTGTGACAGCTCTAACCTGATGAAATATATTTCTTAAGTAATAAGCCTTGAATGCTAAAATGATTCCTTGATCCATGGGCTGCAGACTGGATGCTGTGTTAGCAGGCATGAAAACAACATTCACCTTAACGTAGATTACCATCACAGCTCTTGAGTAACCAGGTGCATGGTCCATGAGCAGTAATGTTTTGAAAGGAATCTCTTTTTTCTGAGCAGTCAGTCTCAGCGGTGGGTTTAAAATATTCAGTAAACCATGCTGTGAACAGATGTGCTGTCATGCAGGCTTTGTTGTTCCATTTATAGAGTACCAGCAGAATAGAATTAGAATAATTCTTAAGAACCCTGAATTTGGGGAACAGTAAACGAGCACTAGCTTCAACTTGAAGTCACCATCTACATTAGCCTCTCATAAGACAGTCAGCTTGTCCTTTGAAGCCAGGCACTGACTTCTCCTCTCTGGCTAAGAAAAGTCCTAAATGGTGTCTTCTTCCAATAGAAGCTGTTTCATCTACATTGACAATCTACTGTTTAGTGCAGTTACCTTCACTGACTATCTTAGCTAGATCTCCTGGGTAACTTGCTGCAGCTTCCAGGTCAACACCAGGGGCTTTACTTTACCTTGCACTTTTTGTTATAGAGACGACCTCTTTCCTTAAAACATGAACCAACCTCTGTTAGCTTCAAACTTCTCTTCTGTAGCTTCTTCACCTCTCTCAGACTTCGTGGAATGAAGAGAGTTAGGATCTTGCTCTGGATTAGGCTTTTGCTTAAGGGAAGATCGTGGCTGGTTGGTCTTCTATCCAGACCACTCAAACTTTCCCCATTATCAGCAATAAGACTGTTTTGCTTTCTTATCATTCATATGGTCACTGGAATAGAACTTTTTTCTTTCAAGAACTTTTCTTTTGCATTCATAGCTTGGCTAACCGGCACAAGAGGCCTAGCCTTCAGTCTCTCTCGGTTTTTGACATGCCTTTCTCACTAAGCTTAATCATTTCTAGTTTTTAAATTAAAGTGTGAGATGTGGGACTCTTCCTTTCACTTGAACACTTAGAGGTCATCGTAGGGTTATTCACTGACCCAATGTCAATACAGTTGTGTCTCAGGGAATAACGAGGACTGAGGAGAGGGAGAGAGATGGGGGGGTGGGGGGGTGGATAGCTAGTTGGTGTAGCAGTCAGAACACACAACATTTATGTATTAAGTTTGCCATCTTATATGGGTGCAGTTCATGGTGCCCCCAAATCAATTATAATAGTAACATCAAAGACTACTGACCACAGATCACAATAAACACAACAATAATGATAAAGCTTGATATATTACAAGAATTACCCAAATGTGACACAGAGACACGAAGTGAGCAAATGCAGATAGAAAAATGGTACTGATAAGACCTGACTCAATGCAGAGTTGCTACAAACCTTCAATTTGTAAAAAACCCAGTTTGTGCAAAGTGCAATAAAGTGCAATAAAATGAGGTATGCCTCTAGTTTAACTAAAACGTAGCCACACTCATTCATTTACATATTGTCTATGGCTGCTTTCACTACAACAGCTGAGGTGAGTATAGAGACATCAAGCCTAAAATACTTACTACCTTGCCCTTAAATCACTGAACCTAGAAAATAACCCATGGGATAAGAGAAAAAACAAATATTTCTGTGTAGCTACATAAAAATGTTCGTTTAGAAATGTGACATGCTCATGAATTACATCTACATAATAATGACACAACAATCATTTGTTCACTTAATCAAAATATTTATCGAATGCCTATTCTGTGCCAGGTATAGTTCTAGGTACTGAGGATATGGTATGAAAAAGACAAAGTTTCTACTGTTGCAGATCATACAGTCTTATGGGGGAAGTCAGACAATTAACAAATAAATATATCACAAAAATGTCAGAGAGCCTTGTAGAGAACAAAAACAGGATAGCATTATATCTAAATCAGGCAGCAGACAGAGGCAGTAACACTTAAGGGGCTATCTACATGATAGTGCAGATGAAGGGGATGAGCATTCTGGGCATTCTAGGCAGAGTAAACAACTAGGAAAGGGAATGAGGAACCACAACGCTCCTGTGGCTCGAGCATAAGAGCCACATTACTTAGCTGTTGTATTTAACCCCAGAACCAAACGCTCTCTCTATGTGCTCAAATCATCACAGTATGCTATTGATGTCATTTGTCTGCCTGCCTCCAACTCTTAGACATACCAATATGCAACAGATACCTATATGGTTCATCAATGTGGAACTGGAATACTTTCTCATTATATAATATTTAAGATACATTTAAATAAAAATATTTTTAATATGTTAAAATTTACAAATTACTTTTAAAGTGATTTATTATAATTTAAATAACAATATATATATTACAATAAAAACATTATGAATACTTAGAAATTAATGTGGATTAACTCACTGCCCCATGTATTCTTTTCTAGTCTTAAAATATGCACACTTTCACATAATTACACTTATGATAATAACAAATATTGGAAACTCGTATGTGGTAGGTACTGTACTAAGAACGTTAACTTGTTGTGTTCTTTAATCCTCAACCAAGGGTTGAAGGCAGTTTTTCTTTATATATTTATTTATTTGAGAGTGCACGTGCGCGGGGGGAGGAGGAGACAGAGAAAGAGAGAGAGAGAACAAGTGGGGGGAGGAAGGGACAGAGGCAGCAGAAGGGCTTGATCCCAGAACCCTGGAATCATGACCTGAGCCAAAGGCAGACGTTTAACTGACTGAGCCACCCAGGCGCCCCAAGGAGGCAGGTTTTATTACTGCTATTTTACCAATGGATGAAACTTGAGTTTGGGGAAGGTCAGCTAGCTACCCAGTATGAACTCCCAATTATAAATTTTTTTTCTGAAGGCTAAATTCTTTTTTTTTTTAAGATTTTATCTACCTATTTGAGAGAGCAAGCGAGCACTGGAGAGAGCAAGCACGAGTGGGGGGCAGAGGGAGAAGCAGGCTCCCCGCTCAGCAAGGAGCCTGATGTGGGGCTCAATTCCAGGACCCCTCAATTCC